TTCCTTTGTATTCGTGGGGGTCTGTGCAACCCACAAATACGGATTGACGAATATTTAACGAGATGGCTATATTCGTCGGAATAAGCTATCCATTTTTAAATTTGTCCCCATCTCTAATTACAATAAATCCTGATGGTTAATGGTAGGAAGACATCTTAACATTAGCAACAGCTTGTTGTCCCTGAGTAAGATGGCAAGGAATTTGACATTATTTACTGTATTTTTCTGTGTATAAGATGCCCCCATGTAGAAGCCGTCCCCCCCACTTTGTAACCCATAATTTCTTTCTTCACAAGAAAGTTGAGGTGGGAAGCAGGAATCGTCAAAGCACTTTGATTTGTGCTTTCCCCCTCCACTTTCCTTTGATGATTCCTTGCAAAGAAAGTGGAGGGGAAAAGCACTTTCCTCACAGAAAAGTGGAGGGACAAAGCAGAAATCAAAGCACTTTGATGATTCATGCTTTCCCCCTCCACTTTCTTGTGAAGGAATTGGAGTTGGAAAGCACTTTCCTCGCAGGAAAGTGGAGGGGGAAAGCAGGGATCAAAACACTTTGATCCCTCCCCCCTCCTTATTTCCGTGTATAAGATGACCCTCAATTTTTAATCTAAAGATTTTAGTCAAAAGTATCATCTTATACAGTACTTCTTGCATACAGTTTTGCAGAGTCTTTAGAAACTTAATTCCATTTTACTTTCACAGTAGCATATACCCCAGACCTATAATGAGCTGTGGGTTGCTATTTCTCTGTGTACCATGTAATGTCATACTGCTATGGAATGAAATTTATCTCCCATCTTTTTTTCTTTTTTTTCCCCTTTGGTACTTTATGATATATTGCTTGCAAAGACATATGCAGATACAAGTAAAGACAGACAAACTGAAATTTGTTGGTACTTTAATGTGCCTTGCCTTATTTACATTTCACACTGTTGGTGGAAATGCAAAGGACTTTTTTTGGAGACATGAATGTGCTGTTTTACTTCCTCCAGTCTAACAGTTAGTAAGGAGATTTTGCTTGAGGCACTCTACTCTTCATCAGTTATAAAAATATTTAAGTGGATATAGAGTAAAAGGCTTATAAATTAGTGCCAAAAAAGCCCATGTGTTTGTCAAGCTAACACAAGTTTCTATAGAAATTAGAAGCCAGGCTGTCAGGCCTCAGTAATGTTGCTTTCTGTCCTCTTTAATAAAACAGGTGCCAGCCTGCTTCATGTTTAAATCATAAATCAAAGAATTACTATAATAATATAATATGTTAATAATTAAAAGCTGTATTTGGTAGATTACAATAAAGTTCTTTGATATTCATTTCTTACTTGGCAAGTATGAGTCCTACTGGCTCCCTCTCCCAGGGCAGTGACGGCTGAGGAATTCCTCAGCAAAAAAACCCATGGGTTCCAGCCTGATTTTATCACTCATTGCAGCTTTTATTAAAGGCACAGAGTCAGCCCCTACTGCCCCTTCCCCCATGTTCTCAAGGGGTTGCGTTTCCAGCACTAACCCCTTGGGCACAGTCCCTCTTACTGGGACAACGGTTGATTTCACTGGGGTTCTTGACAGTCCAAGTCTGCAGGAGAAGCAGGCAGGAAGTATGATTCCTAATCTCAGGTGCAGCCCTTTTAGGCAGAGCTGGTAAAGGCAGGTGATGGGGACCCTGCTCCATGGTGCTGCTCCTCCCAGAGTCTCCTTGGCTGCATCTGTTGCCACGTGTCTCTCCAATGCTGAAGCTGGGTTTTGGTAGGTGCTACAGCTCCTGACAGGAGGCAAGGACTGCAAGGCTGAGGTGGTGCTGGATCAGTTGGGGACTGTGTTGCCAGAGCCCCAGGTCCCCAGCCCCTTCCCCACTATGTGTGTGTATGTGTGTTTGGCCTATAAGCTGGAGTCCCCATGCTTAACTTCCTCTTCTCATATCTCCCCTTCCTCCTACCTGGTTGACAATGATGACCCCGAACCTTGCAACTTCAGCCCTCTCCTTCCTGCCATCATGTCTTCGTCCATTGCTGACCCTTCCTCCACCTGTGGTGGCCTATCCCTGCCAGCTGGGCCTGGAAGACTTGCACTCTCCTGGGCTCCTCTGGCCTGCTGGGGGTTGGTCAAGGCAAGGAACTCTACAATCCTGCAAACACTTGGCCCCCAGGAAATGTTCCAGCTGTAATCAAGTTCAGTCAGGTTGAAACAGCAGCCCAATTCAGTAGATGAAATAAAACAGGACAAAGCTCTGCTCTTGATTGATTCTGCTATAGATAGATGGTGGGATGCAATGAATTTGATTCTAATGGTTGGATCTTAAGATTGCTGAAATTAGAGAGCATTTTAATAGGTTTAGGGTTAGTACTTAAAAATCTCTTGCTTGCTTACTTGCAGCTTCTGTGGTAGATGAAAAGGTTGTGAAAGAAGTGTACAGAATGTTAATAAAGTTTCAGCAGTCTTGGTCTCAATTTTTCCTACACTTTCTTACTCAGACATAAAGAGCAGAAGAATGCAGAGATGGGAGCTTGTTCTTTCTGCATAAATACATTCTGCATAAATATATCATGCATTTAGAAATCCAGTGCAATTATAATTTAACTTATATTTAGAATGTACTGTGTTTCCCTGAAAATAAGACAGGGTCTTATATTAAGTTTTGCTCAAAAAATGCACTAGGGCTTATTTTTTAGGGGATATTTTTCTTTTCATGTACAACAATCTACGTTTATTCAAACACAGTCATGTCATCTTCTTCTGGTTGCTTCACAATGGTGGAGGGTGGGTTTTCACTTAACCGTGGCTTATTTTCAGGTTAGGTCTTATTTTCGGTGAAACAGAGTATATATGTCCCCTTTATATTATGAAAGTGTCATGAGTTGCAACCATATCACAAAATGACCCACTTGCTATTTTTCTGGCTTCTTTGTCCTACAGTTCCGTTGTGTGTGTGGTTCTCTTTTTCTATGCCTGCCCTACCTTTTGGGATTTTCTACAAGGTGGATTTGATTTAGAGTTGATTTTTTAAAAAATCATGATTTAAATCAATTTGATTTTTTTAAAAACATTTTTATCCACCCCTATGTGTCTGTCTGGCCTATAATTTCATTTTGTTGGTCTGCCATTGAAACAGCTGCTTTCAGTTTGAGAAGATATGGAACGACAGTTTCTGGTCTCAGTCCATTTTTCAATATGTTCCAGCATTCAATTTGCAGAAGCTAGTTGTTAAGGTGTAGGGAAACCATTCTCCAGTCTTTCCCTCCAACTACAGCCATTTGAGATATTTTTCTCTTGCTGAAATATATTGCTGCAGATTATTGGTGAGATCAAAGGGAATCGTCTGTCTTACCATTGACCCCAGTGAGTCAGAGACTTTGCATTAAATTAACATCATGCACCAGGAGAGCCATCTCCAGGCACAATAAATAACACTGTTATCAGTTCTTGGGCCTGACTACTTAAGAGAGAACATTTTTGAATACATTCTCCTTTATAGCTGTGACATCAGTTTTCAATACACAAGCAGATTTCCTTTCATCAAAGCACTGATCTCTTGTTCTGTTATTAAATTGCTAAATATTTTTGCAAAAAAATTCATATTTTCATTTTAAACTTAATCAGAATCCTGGGTTTCTTTCTTGGTGTAATAAATAGAATAGCATGGCTCGAAATACAGTATTATTTATTTATTTCCCACCTTTCTCTTTAGAAAGGACCCAAGGCAGCTTACATTGTTAAAAGACAATATTTAAAAGCTAAAAACAGCATGTTTACAAGTATTAAAAAGAACCAACAAATACTACTCTAAAAATGGTAAACAAAATCAGCACCAAAACCAGATTCAAACTAAAAGACACACCACTCCCTTTAAAAATCTCTCCCAGACAAGCCAGTTACTAAGGAAGAGTTTACCTGAAGAGAAAGGTCTTTGCCTGCTTGCGGAAAGACAGCAAAGATGGGGCCAGCCCGGCCTCCTGTGGGAGGTTGTTCTAGCGTCTTGTGTGCATCCACATCCTGTGCCCCCACCAAATGCACCTGTGAAGGTGGTAGGACTGAAAGAAAGGCCATCCCTGATGATCTTAACACCCGAACAGGAGCGTAAAGGGAGACACCGCCCTTGAGATGTCTTGGACCTAAGCAGTTTAGAGCTTTATAGATTAAAACCAGCACTTTGAATTGTCCCCAGAACCAGATAGCACAGTGGCCAGATCAAATGATGGCTGCTGTGAATGAGTCACAGTACTTAGGCATTTGGGTTTTGAATACAGATGTCATAGATTTTGCTGCCTTGCATATTATAGTGTGGTTGACAACACTGTTTGGAATGTTTATGTGTGTATGTTTATTATATAATGCACTGAGGATAGTTGTGTATCTAATGAAGTTTTTTTTTTACACAGGCTTTCATGCTACAGTAAACCTGTTCCTAAGACTTGTTGTCATTGAATCTAATAAACATAATTACTTCTCTGAAATTGATTAGCCATGTTCTGACAATGACTATCACCACATATAGTTCTTATGTGGAGTGTTTCCTCTTCTAGTGCACCTTTGTCTTTTTTTAATGTTATCTAACTGAATCCCTATAAATAATTATGGCTTGAACTTGAAAAGGAAGAACACATGTAGAAGAACGCATGGTAAAGGGGGAGAAGGCATAATTATTTTGAAATTAATATGAGAAATTCTCTAATTTAAATTGGAAGGTGCAAAAATGAAAACACAACCCAGAACATAGGCGCAGTCCAAATGCACAACATTAATGAAACAGAATAAGGATATCTGATCTTCCCTAAATGCTTACATGGTCAGTTTATTGATCACCTCAGTTTTCGGTCTCTACAGCACAGTGGGATAGCTTGTGGTCCTGTTTTCCTGGATGATTTGTTGAGAAATCCATACAGCAGACATCATGGTTCGTGGTACCTTTCCGCAGTGCTGAGTTCAGCTAAATGGTTGAAATGGGATTTCGCTCAAAGGGAAATTGACCTTTTCTAGCCTCCTCAATATCATCTGTTTTCACTTCATTGCAGTGTTGCTAAGAACCACAAACAGAACTTGATGACTGTTGCAAACCTGGGAGTTGTTTTTGGACCAACGCTAATGCGACCTCAAGAAGAAACCGTTGCAGCGATAATGGACATCAAATTCCAAAACATTGTGGTTGAGATCTTAATAGAAAACCATGAAAAGGTAACTTCATTGAGTTTGCACATATTCTAATTTTTAAGGAAACTTGATGAAGGCTTTCTAATTCACTGAATATATTTCATAGCTATCCTTTCCCACAGAATTGTAAGAAAAGAAAATAACTTTATTCTTAATAGCTCCATCTTTCTAAGCATATGTATTTGTTCACACCACCATCCAGGATTGCTGTTGTTGATTTCTGGGGGTGGTGGAATACTAGTTGAGATGTAATAATGACCTGAGTTCAATTTTAATTTCCAACAAGGACTTTGAATTTAGATAAAATTTGATTCACTGTTCAACTGTTGACCTGATAAGTCTATTTTATTTATCCTGTCCCCTTTCTTTGAAAAGATACCCTTCTTTGTATAGGACTGTCCTGCTCACTTTAGGGGAAAGGCAATACCCTTTGTGACAGCAGCAGCCATTATAGTCATCCACACTCCTAACTCAGTTGAAGTTTGCAGACCTCCAAACAGTGTACGCAGATAGGTGGGAACAGAGTTCCAAAATGTAGGAGTGATTTGATATACAGTAACGGCTGCTGATGTCACGTCATTATTTTGCTTCAGACGAGGAGGAAACAGGCCTATTTCTTATGAGCATGTGTACATTATGTGTCAATACACACAGGATTGTCCCGGTTTTTGACTTTTTATCTGATACCATTCACCCTGGCATAATACAGCGTTCCCACAGTTTTCATGGAACAACTCCTTTGTTTTTAATCTCTCGGTGCAGTATCCATTCTCATCCATTCATGAAAAGTCTGTCTGTTTTATCAGTAATTGCTATTTTGTCTTAACTGTCAGAATCCATGAGAAGAAGCCACAAAAAGAATCAATGAAAAAAATTGGGAAGTTGCTTTTTAAAAATTCTGAACGGTTTCTTCTTTCAATTTGTAAAAGAAAATATTGGCTAAAGGACGGAGTCTGTTAGTCAGGTGTAAGACAAAGCAGAAAGGGGGGCATTTTTAACAATGAACATAACAGATATTCCAGTGGCATCTTCCCTGACATGTTTCTGTAGTCGCTTTATATTTACATTTCAATAATTGAATGTCAGTTCATGTGCTGCATCTGTAAGTCACCCCTTGCAGCTTTCTAGTGTATAGTGTGAGGTGTTGCATGGCTGCTATTCATTCTCCTCCATGGAAAAATCATGCTAGTGTTCTCTCTAAAAAGTAACTACCGTATTTTCGCACCATAAGATACACTTTTTTCCCACAAAACAGCTATTCATTTTCCTCCATGGAAAAATCATTCTAGTGTTCTCTCTAAAAAGTAACTATTTGCAACTGATCATTGAAACTGTCTTTTAAAGCACTGATTTTTTAAAAGCATGACATATAGAAGAGGCACTTAGAGAGGGAAATATAGAGCACTGATTCTGCTAGTTGCTGACATACTTAACTACTGTGGGTTGGTATCTTCATTGCATTCGAAGACGAAAGAGGGAAAACGGTGAAGCTGGTGAGATCTTACTTTGCAAGAGCTACCTAATGCACCTGCTCCTGTTTTGTATCAACTTAATTTGTTCTGATATATTAATAATCAACCTTCCCAAGCTGGTGAGGAGGAACTAGAATTCCAGATTATATTTTAGAGTGGCTTTCCAAAGCGTGGGTTGCTTTTGTTCTCAAAATACAGAGCTTGTTCCCTGTAGAGTACAGTTGGTTGATAAAAGATAGTTTAAAAAAATCATTGTATCTGCCAGTTTGGGGAAATTCTCAGGAATGGGCTTAAATGCTGTGGAAAAGGTGCAGAAATCAGTTCATATCAGAATCTAACCTTGCTTCACGGATCTGCTAAGTAAAAAAGTGAGGATTAACTGAAAATACTTACTCTGCCCTGCTGGGGGTGGAAACAGTGCTTCTTTTCTCCAGATGAGGAGGCTAAATTCTAAAGTGGAAGGCTATGACACCTCCTTACGGCTCCCTTCTACAGACACTTCCATTCCCTGAAGTTGTCCCATTAACCCCTTCCTTATAATCTGTTCTGAATTATGGGCAGGTTCCCTGCTAGAGGGAGAAATCAAAACATACACATTTGTTCTCGGAGGGAGTTTGATTTGATTACTTCTTTCTTTGATTTTCTGTCTGTGAACAAGATTAAAAACTGTAAGGCATTAAAACAACAACCCATCCGTGTAAAAACAAACCATTTAAGATTGTAGTAGATAAAGCTGGATCAAAAACAGTAGAGTGAAAAGGGAGGCACAGCAAATAGTAAAAACTCAAGGTTGAAAGCTTTGCTGAAAACAAAAGTTTTAGGTAAATACCTAAACACTAAAAGCAAAGGAAGGGGGGGGCGGGATGGAGCTCTAAGAGGCAGAAATTCCATTGTCTCAGTGGTGCTGCTGAAAGTTTTTCAGGTAGGTACCAGGGACGTGGTGGCACTGTGGGCTAAACCGCAGAAGCCTGTGCTGCAGGGTCAGAAGACCAAGCAGTCATAAGATCGAATCCACGCGACGGAGTGAGCGCCCGTTGCTTGTCCCAGCTCCCGCCAACCTAGCGGTTCGAAAGCATGCAAATGCGAGTAGATAAATAGGGACCACCTTGGTGGGAAGGTAACAGCGTTTCGTGTCTAAGTCACACTGGCCATGTGACCACGGAAGATTGTCTTCGGACAAAACGCTGGCTCTATGGCTTGGAAACGGGGATGAGCACCGCCCCCTAGAGTTGAACACGACTGGACAAAAATTGTCAAGGGGAACCTTTACCTTTACCTTACCAGGGTTAGTCACAAAGCAAAGTGACAGTGGACATATTAAGATGCTGCTTGATCAGAGAGAGAAAAATAGTGGCTGCATCCAGAGCCAACAATGGACAGAATTGTTGCCACATAATTCTGATTTTGTCCCCATCCTCCTTCCAAACTAAAGTAACAAGGTTTAAGCATTGGATCACAGTTCTTACCCAGCACTGTTGCTGAAAACCCTGAAAAGGGAAGATGCATCATTGAGAAGACACGGCATCTGAGAACCCCTCTCCAAATTTCAGCCCATGGAATTACTTCTGAGCAAAATCTAGTTACTGTAACTTTAATTCCCTCACACATACCTTTGTTCATTTTGTCCAGATAGCGAATGTATTTTCCAGTGGAGATTGCAGCAGGATAACAGCTCTGCCTTGCTCCAACAAGCAGGAGGAGATTGTTCTGAAGCATTTCCTTGATAAGACTGATCTTCCCTTCATTCTGATCTATCAGAGGCATGCAACGGCAATCTTAACACTGGACCATCAAGTCCAATCACAGAGACCAGTGGGGAGCTCCCCCTCGTATGCCTTTGGCCAAGCATAACGAACAAGGGGGACTGTGGCAACATGGATGGGGGGAAATGCAGAAATATGGTGGCATGGCTGTTGAAAAAAGCTATGGACAGGGATCTCTCTTAGTGGACAACTTGTCTATTGCTGTTTAAGAAGCAGAAAGGTTAAGGTATTTTGTTTAGCAAGTGGTCTACAACTGAGAACACTCCAGGTATTTGGCTGTGGGTTTTCTCTCCGTGGTTGGCTTTCCAGCGGGATCCTCCTGCCACCAGGTTGTCATCAATGAAATATCAGCACCTTTCCTTTGTTTTATGTGCTCTAGAGCAGTGGTTCTTAACCTTGGGTTACTCAGGTGTTTTTGAACTGCAACTCCCAGAAACCCCAGCCAGCACAGCTGCTGGTGAAGGCTTCTGGGAGTTGCAGTCCAAAAACACCTGAGTAACCAAAGGTTAAGAACCACTGCTCTAGAATTTCCTTGCTGGAATGTGTAAATCGTATCGTTAAGGCATATTTTAGTCAGCTAAATGTTCATTTTTCTATTAATCCTGCCCTAATACCTCAGTCTCTCTGGATCTAATAAAGCTACAGAAATGGATTCTGAAATGCAGTCTGGGTGTATTTGTTCCAGTAGCTTTTCAGCTCATACGCACCAGACTGCTCCAGGGCATGCTATTTAGTTTAAGATGCAAGGAATTAAGAGCTGGTTGGAAGCCCAGAGCCAGGATCACATGACAGCAATGAGCACAAATATTTAGCATCGGTGTTCCTTCCCTTTCTTTGGCAGACAGATGGCAGTAATTTATGGAGTCTTGATATGGGTTGGAGTGCTGGTAACTAGAGCAAGTGGATAAGAGCTTTATTTATTTATTCATCTGTGTATTGCACATCAAGAAGTCCTCTTAGTGGTTTGTAAAGATCAGCGCTGGATTTCCAGCAATGTGCTGTTACTGTAACTTTGGTTAAATTGCAGGCTCTGATTTAAGCTTTTAGATAATAACCCTGATGCCTCTGCAAGTTTAATAGAGAAGATGTGTGGTTTAGAATAGCATCAGTCCAATGAGGTCATTGATTAACCTGCCAAATCCCCTTCAATACATTTCTGCCAAATCAATGCATGCCCTCTGTCTGAACTTACGCATATGCATTTAAAATCAGTGTGCAGTATTTGAATCTTGCTGTTGATGTCAGCAAAGAAATTGCAGCTTACAGTTTCCTGGAATGACTGGTTGGGTTACAACCTGATGTAGATTGCCAAGATTCCTAGTATGCAGGCCATTAAATTGTCCCTATCATCAAAATCATTAAATAATTTCTGACCAGTTTAACAACATTCTTACACTCACAGGAATGTATCATTCATAATGTAAAACAATGATTGCACCTAGAAGTACTGGAGGAATTTTTGAATATAACACTTTTTAGACTAATTTTATTGCCTCTGTTGACGGTTGCTATTCTGTAGTAAACTTTTTTTACTGGCATTACATCTATAATTGCTGCAATCTTGTGTTATCAGGTTTTGAAGGAAGTACATACTTCAGCATTCCTGACTCTCTGCAATTTGTTCTCTATCTCTCTTTCTTTTTTAAATAGATATTTAACACAATTCCAGATACACTGCAATCAAACTCTCAGCTGCTTTTGTCTCGAAAGAGGAGTACAGATTCAAAGCCACCATCATGCAGTGAGAGACCTTTAACACTTTTCCATACTGTGCAGTCCAGTGAAAAGCGTAGGTATCTTAAACTTCTGTTTGATAGATCACTTTGTAAAATAGCATTGTGCCTTTTCATACTGTCCAGTGAACATAATCAATAGTAATGAGAGGGAAGTGCTGTTGCAAGCATAGAACATCAATCCAATATCTTACTGTGGACTAGACGCAGTGATCCCCAACCTTTTTAGCCCCACGGACCAGCTGGGGAAGATGGGGCACCCCCCCTGTGCGCATGCATAAAGGGTGGTGCAGCACTCAGGGTGCACTTGTGTGCGTGCACGAAGGGGTGGGGAGTGCTCATGTGGGCGCAGGCCCACGTGCGCAGGCGTAAACAGGCTGTGTGCATGCGGGGGTGGGGGGGAGGCCTGTTTCCGTGGCCCGGTCCGGCTCAGGCCACGGACTGGGGGTTCGGGACCTCTGGACTAGAGTATACATTGTCATAAACGCAGAAATGCATTAGGCAAATTGATGAGGTGCCTCCAGTAGGCACCTCAGCAATTAGCTGGATCTACTTTCATAATTGCTGTTGCTGGATATTTAGTAATTTGAAGAGCAAACCAGTTCTGCAGTTCTGTTATTATTGTTATATATGTATTGGAGCCCTGCGGCACAGTGGTTGAACTGGAGTACTGTAGCCTAAGCTGCTCACTAATCAGGTTCAATCTCAGGTAGTCAATTCAGCCTTCTATCCTTCCAAGGTCAGAAATTTGAGTACTCAGCTGGCTGGTGTGTGGGAGTATTGTGTAGCCTGCATATTAAATTTTAAACTCTGCCCAGAGAGTGCTTTAAGTGCTATGGGGCGCTGTATAAGCAGAACAATTTGTTTGCTATATTGAAGCACAAATCCCATCACATTCATTTACCAGTAAGCTAATGGGCATCATGAGAGTTCTAGTCCAATGCATCTGAGGGTCCCAAGCTGGAGATGGCAGTTCTAAAATGCTTCTAAAGAGCAAGGGCTGCCAGAATAAGATTATACAGGTGACAAGATGAGGACCATCCAGAACTTGGAAAAATTATTTGACTGCAGTTTCTAGAAACCAATAGCCTGCATGAACAGATATATCAATATAAAAAATTTGAATTGTCATTAGTTGGAAGAAGAGTATTAAGTAAAATGAAGATTATTCCTAAACTTAATTTTGTATTTTGGATGCTCCCAATAAACACTGAAGAAATATATCTGAAAGATTGGCAGAAGTTGATAAATTGCTATTGTGCTAGAAATAAAAGAATAAGGATAAATAAGAAACTATGGTATATTCCACAAAATGGAGGAGGACTTCGATTACCAAATGCTAAAGCATATTATATTGCAGACCCATTTAGACATATTCCAGATATATTGCACATAATAGAAATTTAATATGGCGGAAACTGGAATTGTCAGAACATTTTAATAGAATATCATCTTTAAAGAAAAAATGCAGAAGAAGTAAACAGAATAATTAATCCCTTTTTGAAGACTATGTTAGAATGTTGGAAAGAATTCAGATATATGTTGAGTACACATATCTCACCATTACAAGAAGTAGTGGAGGCTCAGAGCTTCCCCCAAATCCTTAAACTTAAAGAACTATTAGTAGAGAAAGAATTAAATACAATAAGGGCTTGGATGAAAAAGATGAAAGATAAAAATACTATAAAGGAAATCTTGGGAGAGGAAGAGGGGATATCTTGGTTAAATATGCTCCAAATGGAAAGTTGGACAAGGGAATGGACTAGAAAAGTAGGAGAAATTAGAAAGTTGACTCTATTTGAGGAGATTATAGAGGAGAGAGGAAGGAAATTTTAAAAAGGGCACAATACATGTAAGATTTTAATAAATGTTTGATATGAAAAAGCTACGATGAAAAATCAGTGGCAAGAGGACTTAGGAGGTTAAAAGTGAGGATTGGAAGAAAATATGGTCACAAAGAATAATGAAGAATATGTATATAAGTGTAAAAGAAAATTGTTATAAAGTTGCTTTGAGATGGTACCTTACCCCAGTAAAATTGAATATTATAAATAAAATATACCATCTCAATGCTGGAGATGTAAAAAGGGAAAAGGAAGTTATTTACATATGTGGCCGACTTGTGAAATAAGAAAGAAAGAATGGGTATTGGTTTTCAAAGATATCAGAGAAATTATGGAATATAATATTCAAATATCACGAACTATTGCCCTTTTAAATATAATCAAGGATGACCATCTTTAAAAAGAACAGAAAGAACTAATAGTTATAATGGTCACAGTAGCAAGACTAATATTTGCAAAAAAAAACTTGGAAAATGACAAACAAATTAATCTTGAAGATTGGTATAAAGGTGGAGTTTAGCGGTAAATGATGAGCTAACATATGAAATAAAAGGAAGAAGGAGAGTGACAAAATACAGTGATTTTAAAGAGGAATCAAATCTGTATTTGAATTATGTTTTTGTAAAAGGGAAAGGTCATAAGCCAGCAGAAGAATCAATGTATTTTTGGAGTGGAATGGGGTGAAAAGAGATTAAGAATATATTTGGTCATCTGGTCCCAAGAGCAATGGTGGCACAGGGGAGAAATTTTTGTACGGTATATGTGTACACACTTTTTATGTTAGTATTGTCATTATTGTTTTTCCTTAATAAAAAAAGGATAAGAATAAAAAGTACAGTGGTGCCTCGCTAGACGATTGCCTCATGGGATGAAAACCCACAAGACGATTGGTTTTTGCAATCACTATGGTGCCTTGCAAGACGTTTTTTCTGTGACCATGCTTTGCAAGACTCTTTTTTTTTGAGACCAATGCTTCACAATACTTTTTTTTTTAGACCAATGCATAGGGAACCTCGCAAGACGATTTTTTCACAAGATGACGATTTTCGCGGAACAAATTAAAATCGTCTTGCGAAGCACCACTGTATTTTTTACAGACCACATGATGCAAAGGCTGAATTGAATCCCTCCAGTCCTTTTTTGCTCCCAAAGCAAAACTGACTCACAACAGCAAACCGCAAAGCAAAACTGTTTCTCTTTGCCATTGTGGGGCTCCCACTTTTTCAAGCCAGAAAGATTTGAACAGGCTTTCCCCCATGTGGTTAGCTGTTATACATTCTTGTGAAGTGGGGGGCATGTCTGCAGGTAGTGTTTCTATGATATAGGGCAGTCGGGGGTGATGTTTAGGACTGGGGAAAGACACCCCTGGATTCTTTCCTCTCCTGCAACTACCCTCCAAATTGTTATTATTATTTCACATATCAGTTCCCCATCAGATCAGCAGAGATGCGACTGGAGGAAGGAAAGAAAAAAGTGGGGCTGTGGGCTAGAATGTAAAGTACACTACAACCATTATGAATGATGAACCTCTAAATAAATCCACAGCCAATGCTGCTCTACCACCACCACCGCAGCAAAGCTGAATCTCTTCAATTTGGTTTCCCATGGTAGCTACACTCTTAGTTCTCATCACGGCTGTACAAACATAATGCCAAATTAATTTCCATTCTCTGCATGACAACTTTTTTGATTTAAAAATGGCAAACAAGCAGAGAGGCAGGCAAAGAAGAGATGTCAACCTTAATCACCATAAGAAGGTTTCGCCATGGGAGACTCCCTCTGGCTTCTTTGTGTTTAGAAGCATTTTCCCTATATTCTTTGCTTTGAAGAACTAAACTTTTCCGTTTTCTGTTACTACATTGTTTTCTTTCTTTTTATAAAAGCAATTTCAGTTCAATTCATCCGAGTTCCATGTGCAACTCATTCATTACTAATTTACAGACATTAATTGTAATCCTTCAAAACTATCCTGCATGGAATGGACATTGGTGCAGTGATGTCCTTTTCCCTCATATGCTTTCCACTAGCGGAGTGTAACAAGCTAGGATTTAACCAAGGAAAGATCTGTTTTTTGTGGTGCCTAACCTTACATTAAGCTTGTCCTTGAGTGACAATAAATTTAATTAATATCTTTGCTTTAAGTATATGTCAAAACAGGGGAAAGTTGCTCTTGTGGACTATATCTCCCCGAATCCCCTCAGGGAAATTTTGGGAGCTGTAGTCCAACAAAGGAACTTCTCCAAGATCTTAGGGACAGAAAAAGAGATAATAATAAGTACTGCTACTGCTATTAGGCATCAAATCAGTTCAGCAACTATGGCTTTCTAAGGAGAGAATATGCAGAGCCGGTTTACCATTTCCCTTCTTCTGGGAGGGGTGCTTTGGGACTATGCAGCTTGCCCAAGGCAGTACAGGCTGGACCTTTCCTTGGGAGGCACAGTGGGCAAACTTCCAACCTGTGGCTCCATAGTCAGATATCTAACTCACTGAGCTGTTCAGCAAATATATGTATAGACACAGATAGAAATATATATATATACACACACACACACACACACACACACACACACACACACACACACACACACACACACACACACCAGGTGTAGGAGGAACTATCACTGCTTTGTCATGGTAGATTATAAAAAATCATAAAATAGATTAGAGAATATGGTTTTGAGTCAGTTTTCACCTTTGTCTTATTTTCTTCCTGCTGTGACTCCAGTTGGGATTAGTGCCTTCTGTTCTTTGGCTTGTCATCATGTTTGGTTACTTTCTCTAAGTAAGATGGATGGACTAGTAACCAGTGGAAGCCATTTCACTTTCTGTATTTTAACACACACATGCATACAAGAAAGAGTTCTACTTGTCTGATGTTTGTCAAATAGTGTACTGTAGAAGAGACTCTCTTAGAAAATAGAAATAGAATGACTTGGATGAGGGAGTGCAGGGAATACTTGTCAGATTTGCAGATGACACAGAATTGGGTGGAATAGCTAATACTCTGGAAGACAGAAACAAAATTCAAAATGATCTTGATAAGTTGGAGCACTAGGCTTAAAACAACAGAATGGAATTCAGCAGGGATAACTGCAAAGTACTACACCTCAGAGAAAGAAAACAAATGCACAGTTGCAAGATGGGGGATGCCTGGCTCAGCAAAACAACGAGTGAGAAGGATCTTGGAATTGTTGTAGATCACAAGCTGAATATGAGCCAACAGTGTGATGTAGCTACGAAAAGGCTGCATTAACAGAAGTATAGTTTCCAAATCATGCAAGATGCTAATTCCGCTATATTCAGCACTGGTTAGGCCTCACCTTGAGTATTGTGCTCAGTTCTGACACCACACTTCAAGAAGAATGATAACAAATGGGAACAAGTTCAGAGGAGGGTATCAAGGATGATCATGGGCATGGAAACCAAGCTTTATGAGGAAAGGCTGAAAGAATTGGGCATGTTTAACCCTAACCCTTGACAAAAGAAGACTGAGGGGTGATATGATAGCACTTTTCAAATATTTGAAAGGCTGTCATACAGAGAAGGGGCAGGATCTATTTGCGATCATTCCAGAGTGCAGGACACGCAACAATGGGCTCAAGTTCCAGGAAGCCAGATTTCGATTGAGTATCAGGGAAAAGTTCCTGTTCGAGCAGTAAGACAGTGGAACCAATTACCTCAAAAGGGGGTGAGTGCTCCAACACTGGAGACATTCAAGAGAAACTTAGACAACCACTTGGCAGATATCCTTTGATTTGTATTCCTGTATCGAGCAAGGGGGTGGACTCAATGGCCTTATAGGCCCCTTCCAACTGCACGATTATATGATTCTATGAAAATGCAGACTTTTCATCTTTGGGAATGCTTTGTTGTTGTTCTTGTCATTAGTTTGTTAGTTAGCTATTATTTATTAATTACTTCTATATTTCACATTTCCTCCTGTCAGCTCAAGGTGATATACATGTCTTTTCTCCTCCTTCCCAATGTTAGCTTCCCAACAGGCCTGTAAAGTATCTCACCTGAGAGACAAACTTACCCAAGGCAGGTAGCACACCCCTCCTCCAGGGCTGTAATGTAGCTGCCCATAATCTCTGCCAACCACACCCTAACTACTCCCAAAGCTTTGAAAACACCCCTTGGATCTTTGGGGGAGTGTGTGTGGCTATTTGTCCTTGTTTTGATAGAGGCAACACTTCTGGGATGTGTGCGTGTGCACACACACAGAGAGACACACACGACCAGGGGTCCCCAACCTTTTTTGAGTCCCAATCCCCTTTTATAATACCTAAGCAAACTGACACCACCATTCTGCCTTCCTTGCATAAAAAGACATTTTAATGGGGTAAAGTCATCACTTCTCTGAAAGTAGAGGTTTCTTTCTCCTCCAAAGTGCCTGTTTCTGGTACATACACATACACACGAATTTTAATATCCCACTCCTAAAGGTCAAGAAAGAAATTATTTTACAGGGGCTACAACACATAAAATGACCTGCAACTCCCTGGAAAACACTTTTGTGACCTCCAGGTTGGGAAACACTGCACTAGAAGGTCCAAGGCAGCTCAATTTTTGTAAATACTGCTCTTGATCTTAGCCAAAAGCCCAATAAGCAATCTGTTGGTGGAATTTGCAGTGTTTTAAGTCAGTCCAGGCGGTCCAGTACAATGACACACACAGAGGCAGCTTCTTCCCAACACTTCATGTTCTAACATACACCTTGCATGAATCAGCACTTTGCCCACCTGTTCAGCATGGCTGCTGATTACCATAGGTCTGGCCCTGTCGCAGTATGGAAATTATCTTTGACACAATGGAAATGGAAATGTGGGAAAGAGATTGGTGAAGTTGGCACCTATGCAGGGTCCAGTGAAAAGCATATCTGGCCTGTAGACCTATTGAGATCACCAACCCCTACTTATTGCTTGCTAACATGAAACAAAGAAAGGTCTTTTTGTGCAGTGGCTCTTACACCAGGTAGCAAGATATGGAAGAAGAAATACTGAGAAATCCTGACAAATGCATGCATTGTATATAGTATGCAATTATTACCTCAAAATGACAGTGAGCTTGAGAAAATGGTTGCTTTGGATCTGATACTGTCATTAGTTAGAAGCAGTTTTTGGAACTCAAGCAAATAATTGTTATAGAAGGAGAATGACATGTGAATGAACTTTAAAAAAGACATAACATGGTAGCTGAGATCTAGTCATTAGTAGCGACTAAAATAACCCACTTAGGAAAGAGTTGATTCCCCAAACCTCCACTGAGTTAATGGGTCTACTGTAGTTGCAACTTACTACTGGATTTCAGCCAACGTCTGTATGATCTCAAATTCTGATTGTGATTACTCAGCTACAGATTCTTTATGGTTGGGACATGAAAGTTGGAGCTCAGAGTCTTTGAATAATTTACTAGAGACTAGATTCATTAATTATGATGAGATTCAATGAGCTGAACAGAACTAATGGAAATTAAAAAGGGTAAGAGAGTTAATGTTTCTGCTTGATTCCTGTTACTGTTGCAAGACAAAAACAGTACCTATTCACTGTTTCACAATGTATTGGACTTGGAAAATGTAACTGGAATCCCATGGAATTATTTTAAACTTTCTAAAACTGTCAGTTCTGTACTGTAAAATTTAACAGGCAGCAGCAGTATTTCTTGAAGAAAAGATAGGAGTGTCATGTTGTAAAAGAATGTCTAGAAATAAACCCCTTCTTAACTGACAAGTTATAGAGGAAGGAGCCTAAAATGAGCAGACATGGGACAGAATTCAGATCTTTGGACACATGGGGCAAAATCCCGTTGGTGTTTGTGTGAGGTTTGTGTAACTTACTTTCGCTAATTACAGCTCATTGCTGAAGTGGCAGGGCATATCTTGGTTGTACAATCATGCAACAAGACTGTGCATATAATTCAGATGTGCCCCAGCACCTCATCAGTTAGCTACTATTAGCCACAGCAAGTTACTGAAACCTTATGTGAACAGCGGTAGGATTCTTGACAGAATGTGAATAATTTCTTTCCATGAATCAGTGCTGAAATTCTGACTACATGTGATGGATCAAATGCTCCCTGTCTCATTCGATAGCTTAATCAGTATCCTTATAGAAGTTCATATGGGTGATTTTTTTTTCCTAGAGGAGAACAGGAACAGTATCATCAACTCCAGCCTGGAATCAGTCATATCGTCGTCGAATATCAATAGCTTTGTGCACTCCAACAGCACTCCTCAATCCAACATGAATTCAAGTGACCCTGATTTAGAGGTTGTTAAACCCAGCAGGCCAAACGCACTGTAAGTATCGTCCTGATTAATACCTCAGTTATTCTCCTCAGCTTATCCACAGATCTATTTGTCAGGAACTAGGTGGCACTTTTTACAGGACTGCCACTTGAATAGTATTGTTTTAAGTTAACCACCAGCTGCCTGCTTTTGGTTTTCTCACTCTGAACTAGGGATATAAATGACTTCATTATTTTGGTGATTTCTTTTAAGCCTACTTTTGTTCTGGCTATGCAAGATGCCGTTTCAGCTCTACCTTTACATTCCTTCTTGCTAATTCGTGCTCATGTCCTGTGTTTCCTGTGTGCTATGCAGAGGTATTTTTCTGTTTCATTTGCTCCTGGAATTAGAGAAAGAACTGCTTATTTAGCTTAAACCAAATAGCACTTTTGGCACAGTTGGTCGCCAGCTAAAATGTATGCCAATCTGCTCTTTGTACACTGAGAATGTTCCAGTGGAATCGTTAATCCTAAATCTCAGGAGAGTGCTTCATTTTACTAGGAATAGTTGTTAATTTCTCACAGCAGTCTTTTGTTGTGGTGGAAGACTCCATCTTTGTTTCAGTTGTTTCTGACAGCAATATGTGACAGAACTCCCATCCCATGTGAGTTTCCTTTATAGATATATATATAAAATAAATAGGTAACTTGAGCCCTTTTCAGGAGTTTGTTAAGCATATGACTTTTGTTTAAGCAGAGAGCCTTCTCTGCCTGTTACTCTAATAGTACTATGTAGACTACTTCTGGAGTGAATTGCCATCCCAACCCTTGAATGCTGCTTGGATGCCATGCTGGAGTAGATGAGGGAAAACAGACTGAGCCTGTTTAGGTGTTGGAAATCCAGACAAAACAGAGGTCCTGTGGGTGGTTGGTCCTATTGTCTGTGGATTGGGGCCCTCCTTTTCTTTTGGGGGAGCTACTCAGCTAAGGATGAGTTTTGCAGTCTGTTCATACTTTTGGACCCAGTACTATCAAGGGTGTCCCACTTAGTGTCTGTGGTCCGTTCCACATTTTTCTACCTGTGGCTGTGTTCCTACCTTGACACTGGGTTCGTCCCCACCTTAGTCCATGCACTGGTAGTCTCAAGATTAGACTACTGTAATGTTCTTTATGTGGGGCTGCCCACGAGGTTGCTACGGAATCTCCAGCAGGTTCAAGATCTGGTGGCCAGATTAGTGAGTGGAGTGAAGAAATACCATCATATCTCCCCTATCCTGACTGCATTACACTAGTTACCTGTCCATTTATGTGCCAACTTCAAGGTGACGAGGCCCTAAATGGTTTGGGACCTTGAAATCTGGCTAAACACCTCCTTCCAATAAGATCTGCCTGGCCTACTCAATCTTCCCAGGCTGGGTAGTTGAGAGCACTGACCTTGAAAGATACCCTGGAAAGAACAGACCAGAGAATGGGTCTTCTCAGAGGTTGCTCCTCACTTCTGGAATAACCTCCCACCCGAAATTCACCTGGCCCCTTCACTGGGAATTTTCAAACAATCCTTGAAAAATGGTTGTTGTCGATTTTTCGGGCTGTTCGGCCATGTTCTGGAGGAAAACCCCACAACAATCATCGGATTGTGGCCATGAAAGCTTTCAAGAACACATTGATCTTTGAAGACATGATTATTTAAGACAGGCTTTGCTGGAGATCACACCGCCATAGCACAGAGACTTTTTCAGGACTTATATCATCTGTCCTGCCATCTTGTCTTTTTAAATTAGTTATTTTAATATTGCCTTTTGTGTCTGTGGATTGGGATGTCTATTTTTGGCTTCTGTATTATTATTATGTCTGTATTTCTTAAGGTTTTGTTTGTTTTATGTTGTGAACTGCCAAAGTGGGCTTGGTAGCCAGATGGACGGTATAGAAGTTGAATAAAGAGCCAAGTTATAGCAATGGAGGGGGAAGGGCTAGCATACACCCTGACTTCTGCATTTGGGGAGCATGGTTATGCTTCAGCTCAGTTGGGTTTAGGTGTTGGAAAGCACTTGTGACTGCCTTTGAAAGCAGCAGCCTTGTGTCTGACCCACTTGTCTGTCCCCCTAATGCTTGATGTTGCCCTTGCACCACATTGCTGGCTGTGGTGCAGAGGGAGAAACCCATGAGCTGGTGGCATTATGTTGTGTGTCTTGTAGTGAATGTGCCCCAGGAAAGAGAGATGGAGGAGACAAAGGCTATTGTTTTTCTTGATAACCAAATTCTGTGGCTGCCAGGTGTCCACAATGCACGCAATTAGCTTCAAGATTTGCTCTTACCTTGATATATTTTGTTAAGGCAGTCTGCTTCCTGAAAAGGGTGCCCTTATTTGCTTATTCATTGTTGGGTCGCTGAACTGCCTAGGGGTTTGTAAGGTCCATTTACTAATTTTTGCCTTTCCCATTCAGTTGCTAAACTAACTAGTGGTGGCTGCTAATAATAGAACAATGCAAAAGTCTAAAGAAGAATTGACAACAGTTTACACCTTGATTTCAGTCCTCTTATCTTTTTGTTCCATAAAAGTGTTACCCTCTGTTAGTGTAAAAGGTGCCACTACCTTGTCTAAAGATGTTTTGCAGCAGCACAAAATTCCTCATAAAAGGAAAAAACTGTGTTTAGCAGTTGAAAACCATCAAGTCCCTTTTGAAAAGTGCCAGAATAAATCCTTAATGAATTGAGTTTTCCATTTCCTATGGATACCTGGACATCTTTCTACTCAGGAAGAGGAAGGATTTCTTTGAAATCCCCTTTAAGAGATCCATTTTACCCCAAGTTAGGCAGAGAGCTCTGATAAAATTTTACCTGTAAACCTTCCCCCTATACTCTGCTTAGAGTTCTTTTTGCTTAAGAGAAAAATAGAAACAATTTCTAACTCAAACTCTGTAAATGTAAAGATTTCCCTTAACATTTAGTCCAGTCATGTCCGACTCCAGAGGGCGGTGCTCATCCCCATCTCCAAGCCGTAGAGTGAGTGTTTGTCCGTAGACAGTTTCCATGGTCACGTGGCCAGTGCGACTTAGACACGGAACGCTGTTACCTTCCCACCGAAGTGGTACCTATTTATCTACTTGCATTTCCATGCTTTTGAACTGCTAGGTTGGCAGGAGCTGAGAGAAGCACTCTGTCGTGTGGATTCGATCTTACACCGGCGGGTCTTCTGACCTTGCAGCACAGAGGCTTCTGTGGTTTAACCCACAGCACCACCACATCTTTCTTAACTCAAACTCTGTACCTACTATTAAAGTTTTAAAACTCCAGGATGGATGAGTGCTGACAAATCATTGAAATAGATAACTTTCATGAAGATCAGTTTTATTATTAGCTCAGTTTTAAAACCCAAGTCATTTCTGGATTGAGAGAATGGGAATATGTTTGGGGATTTGGGTTTTTTTGGTATATGATAAATAAGTCTGTCACTCTTGAATTGGCCTTATCAGCCACACTAAACGCTGTTCCAAGTCCTCCATACAGGGCACGTTACCATAGTCTCTTGAGACTGAAGGATGCCTAATCTAAATACTGTAAGTCTGTCTTTGTTCCAACTTCTTTTTCTAATGCACTTTTTGAAAAGCTTCTGCTACTGCATTTGGAACGGTGAGTTGAAGACTAGAAAAACACACTCGGCAGTGAATTGCACAGGCCAATTTGTAGCACACAGCCTCTCAGTCCTTCCTGATGCAAATTGCAGCCAGAACCAAGTGATGTGTTGCCCAAGGTTCTCCTGCTTCTGCCAGAATCCGAGACACCCTTTCCTGTAGCCCCCTGGGCCTCCTCAGGACCTAGCCCTTGGGAGGGGGGAAACCCCGGTGCGGAGCAGGGTTGCTTGGCCACACAGTGTCATATCAAGAGGGGCAGAAGAAGAAAATCACAATTCTGCTGGCACTGGACACCCAGTTAAACAATTTGATTTTAGTAACTACCAGAAAGCATTTATTTGTTATTATTTATTAAAATATTTTTAAACTTCTCTCATCTTATGATACCTGCAAGTAGAGGGGGCTCAAATTTCGGTTCGGAGGGTCATGCTGGTTTATACACACGGCACCACAGGTACCGCATATTCCCTTTTCCTGCCTCCCCAGCTGGATTTCCCACTCCCCAGCTGGCGCACATTCCTCTCCTCCTCCTTCTCTTTGGCTGTTTGACCCATCTCTAGCAGGAGCATGGGCTTTCTTGTCCCACCTCCTTAGCTGATTGCCCACTCTGACAAGGAGGCAGGGCAGGCCATTCCATGTTCCTGCCAGGAACTGGTCGAACAGCCAAAGAGGGGGAGGAGGGAAGTGTGCTACGACTGGTGATTGGGTCATTGGCTGGGGAGGCAGGGGAAGGGAATGTGTGGCGCCAGATGTCCAAACAAAGGTTAGTGCTAGCAGGAGCATGGGCTTCCTTGTCCCACCTCCTTAGCTGATTGCCCACTCTGACAAGGAGGCAGGGCAGGCCATTCCATGTTCCTGCCAGGAACTGGTCGAACAGCCAAAGAGGGGGAGGAGGGAAGTGTGCTACGACTGGTGATTGGGTCATTGGCTGGGGAGGCAGGGGAAGGGAATGTGTGGCGCCAGATGTCCAAACAAAGGTTAGTGCCCTGAGAGGTTTAGAAACTGTAATAAAAAGCCTACTGTGATATGCAGTAGAAAAAAAACAGTGAAGCATCTACTACAGCAATAAAAAGCAGCAAATACATAAAAAAGACAGCTTACTTCAGTCAGCTTCATAAGTCACTTTAAAGTGCCTGGCAAAGGAAATAGATTCTGACCTGCATAAAACGGAACAGAGTGTTGGCATCAGTCGCACTGCCATGGGGCGGTAGAGGAACAATAATAGATTTGTTCTATAAGGATGACACCTTGATTGTGTTACTGATGATTGATTATTTATTTATTTATTTATTGCCACGTTTATGGGGCGTTTCTTATAACAGTTTTCTCTGAGTGGCTTATAAAATCAGTAATGTACTAAAATGTAAAACATAAATCTGTTTTTTTAACAATTACTCTTTAGCCACTACTTGTCATCTTCAATGTGATCTCTCATTTATTA